AAAAAAAAAAAAGAAAGAAAAGATATTAGTGTTCATGAATTGAAAGAATTAATATTGCTAAAATGTCCACACTACCCAAAGCAATCTATAGGTTCAGTGCAATACCTATCAAAATTCCAATGTCATTTTTCATAGACATGGAAAAAACAATCCTAAAATTCATGTGAAACTACAAAAACCCCCTAATAGCCAAGATAATATTCAGCAGAAAGAACAAAGCTGGAGGCTTCATACCACCTGATTTCAAACTATATTACAGATTGGGCATGGTGGCTCATAATTATAATCCCAGCAATTTGGGAGGCTGAGGAGGGCAGATTTCTTGAGCCCAGGAGTTTGAGACCAGCTTGTGCCCAGTAGTCAAGACCAACATGGCAAAACCCCATCTCCATAAAAAAGTAAAAAATTAGGCCAGGCACAGTGGCTCATACCTGTAATCCCAGCACTTTGGGAGGCCGAGACAGGTGGATCACCTCAGGTCAGGACTTTGAGACCGGGCTAACTAACATGGTGAAACCCCGTCTCTATTAAAATTACAAAAGTTAGCTGGGCATGGTAGTGGGCACCTGTAATCCCAGCTACTTAGGAGGCTGAGGCAGGAGAATCGCTTGAGCACGTGAGGCAGAGGTTGCAGTGAGCTGAGATTGCACCATTGCACTCCAGCCTGGGCAACAAGAGTGAAAGTCCAACTCAAAAAAAAAAAAAAATTAGCTGGGTGGTAATATCAGGTACTTGGGAGGCTGAGGCAGGAGGATTGCTTGAATCCAGGTGGTAGAGGTTGCAGTGAGCCATGACTGTGCCACTGCACTCCAGCCTAGGTAACAGAGCAAGACCCTCTCTAAAATATATATATATATATATATGCACACACACACATATACCTATATTCTGTTTTATACATATTCTGTTATATATATATTCTGTTATATATATAATAGCTATAATAATTATATATATATACATATATATATATATATTCTGTTTTATATATATATGTAACAGAACTACAATGATTATAACAACATGGTACTGGCATAAAAATAGACACATTGACCAAATGGAACAGCATAGAGAGCCTAAAACAAACCCACACATTTACAGTCAATTGATTTTTCTTTTTCTGTTGCCCAGGCTGGAGTGCAGTGGTACAATTATAGCTCACTTCAGCCTCAACTTCCTGGGCTCAAGCAATCCTCCCACCTCAGCCTTCCAAGTAGATGGAACGCCAATTAGCTGGAATGCCAAGTAGCTGGTGCATGCCATCACAACCAGCTAATTAAAAAAAATTTTTGTAGCAATGGGGTCTTGTCCTATTGCCCAGGCTGGTCTCAAACTCCTGGGCTTAGGCAATGTTTCTTCCTTGGCCTCCCAAAATTCTGGGATTATAGGTGTCATACGCCACACCTGGCCTACAGTCAATTGATTTTTTGACAAAGAATGAGAATGACATTGAGAAAATAAGAGTCTCTTCGACAAAACAGTGTTGAGAAAACTGGATATCCACGTGCAGAAGAATGAAATTGGACCTTTACCTAACACCACATTAAAAAAATTGAATCCAAATGGAGTAAAGGCTTAAAGACAAGATCTGATCCTGAGATGTTTAATTGGCGTTAGATAAAATTTTTTTTAAAAAAAGACAAGATCTGAAATCGTAAAACTACTAGAAGCACACTACATAAGGAAAAAACTACATGATGTTGATCTGGGCAATTATTTTTTCAATTTGACACCAAAAGCTCAGGAAACAAAAATGAAAATATACAAATGGGATGGGATTACATCAAACTAAAAAGCTTCTACACAGCAAAAGAAACAATTAACAGGGTGAAAAGGCAACCTATGGATTAGGAGAAAATATCTATAAGCTACACATCTGATAAGGGATTAATATCCAAAATATATAAGGATCTCAACTCAATGGCAAGAAAACAACCCAATTAAAAAGTGGGCAAAGGACCTGAATAAACATTTTTCAAAAGAGGACATATAAATGGACAACAGATATATAGAAAAAAAAAAAGCTCACCATCATTGTGGAATCATTATGGAAATGCACATTAAAACCACAATGAGGGCCGGGCGCGGTGGCTCAAGCCTGTAATCCCAGCACTTTGGGAGGCCGAGGCGGGTGGATCATGAGGTCAAGAGATCGAGACCATCCTGGTCAACATGGTGAA